GTACAGAATTGTTCAACAAGTCGTCCAAAAAATTATCAGACACTTCGGCAAAAGTGCAAAACGCGAATTTTCCGCCATTTTGAATTTTCTATTAGTAGGCTATCACTAATAGCCTACTAGTAGCGTAGCCAATCAGAACGCACGATATGTGATAGCCTACTGGTAGGTTTATACTAATATGCGATGGTCGAAGGTGTGAGCCGAAGGTGTGAGCCGAAGGCGTGAGCCTAGTACCACAGGCACAACTTAGCTAGGGGGGTCTGGGGGCATGCATCCCCCAAGATATTTAAAAAAGGAATATCTGAAATGGCATTTAAAAAAAAATCTCAGCCTCTCAAAACAAAGTTGTAACGGTGAAATTTGTAATAAATTGCATGCTAAACATTCAAACACAATATATAGTTTAAGTATGCTCACCAAAAATTGTTGTTTTTTTAAACTTCTTTTCAATGTTAAACTCATTTACTCAGTACAGGTCCTATAGGGTCCTGGCTTTGGGGAAATACGCCATTTTTCTCTTCAGTGGTGGGGCAGTGGAGGGGGCCCAGTGTGGCAAATGCCCCACCAGTCCATGGTATTGAAAAATGCCTTGGCTCATCCTACGGCTAATAGCTGCATAAACTGGAAAGCCACACAATATTTTAGGTAGCACTATCGATTTAAACAAGTGATCTATCTCAGCTTGTGTGCATCTTTCTTTGCGGAAGCGTCGGATTATAATTATTTGCTTCACACAGCTTAATTTTTACATGCTCGCTAAACTTACAATTACTTGCAGCGTAACTCCTAAGAGAACCAGACTGCTATATTGCTTGATATTATACATTAATCCCGGTTACATTGCCTTTCTTTCGTAGAACTACGTCTTTGCATTTACCGAAATTACATTGCATGCTATTTAACTGGGATCATTCCATAAACGTCGACAAAGCTATTTCTGATCTGTCTGATAGACGTTTCGTAATGATTGCTAAGATTGAAGAAGCATGTGCGTATTTGGTTAATGGCGTGTTTTCTTGATCACTTAATTTCAAATCATTTATAGAAACACATTGAAAAGGTTCGGGCCACTAACACTGCCCTGTATTGTTCTTTTTGTTAACTGCCCCCCATTCGTTGGTTATAGATTATACAGGGTGCCCCCCCCCCCCC